GGGGGCGGAACCGAGGGTGGCGAACCATTTCCGGGAACCGGAAAAAAAAAAAAAAAAAAAAAAAAAAAAGATGTTTATTTAATGCTCTCTCCTGTTATCAAAAGAATATTACCCATATATTAACTGCTAACTAGTTAACACTGGGGAATATTGGGTGTCCTCAGAAAACATAATCTGACTTAGAACTCTAAGCAGAATCTCCCTCTGCTTGTGCTTTCCCAGATTAAATGATGGATACATTCTGATTATACAAAACATAAGAAAAAGAAACTAAAATTTGTATTAGTTACTCTTTAGATATTCATTATAGATTACATCATTTATAAGAAGATAAAAGAGTGATTACAGAAAGAATCAAAGAATCAAGTTTTAGAATCTATGCTACTTTAGCAAATGTCTACAAGAAACTATCTTTTTCTGACAGCTGATTTACAGGAGTACATAAACTGCTTTCTCTTATGTAAAAAATAGGTCGCATATAACTCTCCCCCCAACTTTCATTCTAATCATAACTTTAAATAGCTGCCTTAGTGAAGGAGTGTTCTACGGCAATATACTTTAGTAACAATGGAGTTTGGGAGTTAGAATGTTCCTAGATGTGTGTTTTTGTCAAAAAGGCCATATTGCCTTATCTGCCCTTTTTATGCTCTCTCATAAATCCTGCACACTTAAGGGAGAAAGAGTGAAGACCAGAAATTAATGTTTGATTGAGATGTTTGCCAATTGTCATTACCAGATTTAAAGCTGATTTCTCTTGATAAGGGAATGGGCCTTTACAATGTAGTAGCTTCTTAAACTTCAGAATCCTAAAGCAGGAATTTGAATGAGCAGGGTATATAAGGAAAACATGCTGGGGATGTGGAGTGGAGAGATCTAAGAGCAGTCTTCATAATTTAAGTAACAAAAGCTAATGTTACAGAATGCTTTATATAATGTTTTTTTCTTTGGATTATTTTAAGAAAGGTTAAATTTTTGTTCTGTACAATTTAATCTTAAACTTAGTTACCAATAACTAAGAAGATCCTGAATCTTCCAGCTTACTGCCCAGAACAGCTTTCTCATTTGAGAAGATTTAGCTTGAAGAGGCCTTTACCCCCAAGACCGTTTTTGTTCACATGCCAGCTCTTCCCTTTCCAAAAGAGTTGGAAAACAGTCAGAATCATTGAGGGGCTTGTCATTTGGCTTGTAAATGTAAGGTAGTTGCCCCTCTACCTTTAATATGATGACTCAACTTCAGCGAACAAGTTACTTAACCTCTCTGAGCCTCAGTCTCCTCATCTATAAATTGGAAGGTATTATACCTGCTCAGTATATAGCAGAGGACTTTACATGTCCTACTTACATTCACAGCCTTCTTCATAAGGAAAATATATATTCTGACATGTTAAAAAATGTTTAAGTGCAATACCAAAAAGTGAAAAAATGAATTCCAATTCAAGATGACAAACTGAACATACCTATTTACTGCCCCCAACCCCAATGTTACTGAAATGACAGGAAATATGAAAACCAAAATAATCCTCAGCAATGCTGGAAAATCAGAGGAGGTGCTATCAGCAAATTTACGACAACCCCATAGAATTAAGGAACCTCCTAACTCTATAAAGGCAAAAGAGCAGGAAAACAATGATATTCTCAGAAGGATCCCATAATAACCTCAAGCTAGAGGGGGAGACGTGGAGCAGTGCCCAAAGATTCCTGCCTCCTGGCATTCATGCCTTTGTGTATGGGCTGGACCTAGTGATTTACTTCTAACCAATAGAATATAGCAAAGGTGATGGAATATCACTTGTATGGTTAGGTAATATAATATTGTGATTTCTATCTTACTAGCAGATTCTATTGCCTTCTCTGCTTGCATGCTTTGATGAAGCTGCCATGTTGGCAAAGCCTATGTGGCAAGGAGCTGAGGCCAGCTTTCTGCCAACAGCCAGTAAAGAACTCCAGTCAGGCCTTCCACTCAGCAACCTTCCAGGAACTGAATCCTGCCAACAACCATGTGCATCTGGAAATGGATCCTTCCCCAGTTGGGCCTTGTGATGACTAGAACCCAGCTGACAACTTGATTTGCAGCCTATGAGAGACCATGAAGTAGAGAACTCAGCTAAACTGTGTCCAGATTCTTTACTCACAGAAACTCTGAATTAATGTGTTGTTTTAAGCTGTTAGCTTTGGGGGTAACTTGTTATGCAGTAATAGAAAACTATACAATGGGTAAATATATACCATGTCAACACTAATCAAAAAAGAAAAGTTGGAGTGACTATATTAACGTCAAAGCAAAGACTATTAGGAAT